GTGTGTGTGTGTGTGTGTGTGTGTGTGTGTGTGTGTGTGTGTGTCTGTCTCTGGATGTCAAGAGCATTGGCTCTGCTGCAATGCTGCAATGCCCCCCCACACAGGCTTCACGTCTGACAACCATGACTTTAATTTGCCTTAAGGGCCCAAACACACACACACAGACACACACATGTGTTTGTGAAGGAAGTGAGCAGGACTCCCGAGGAGTTCAGTTTCCACTCGGAGTGAAAGTGAGCTGAGAAGCTCCTCCACCCTGAACATCCATGTAGGAGGTGGGCGTGTGCACAGAGGGCAGGGTGCTGCTGGTGGAGCTCTGCCAGGTCAGCCAACCTTTAAAAAGTGTTGAATCTGATCTGTTATGGACCCGTCCACCCACCCCGACCTCCTCTGTGCACACGTCTCTCTGTTGTCTGTCAGAGTGCTGATGTCACGTACGTGAAGCTGCTGCAAATAAAAACCAAACGTTCCTCAACGAGGAGAAAAGTCGAAGTTTCTTCATGTTTAGACAAGAAACAAAAACCTGACTTCCTCTTTGTTCCTCTGACATCCTTCGTTGGTCCGCACTGACTGAACCGACATCATTTTACAACCAGAGTCGCCCCCTGCTGGTCATTAACATGCATGCGGGTTCAGAGTCTGTGTTCCTAATAAACTGCTGCACATTAAACTTTTTCTTTAAAGCAAAACTTTAACTTCCCTTAAAAATGTGATTCTCCAGAGAAACAGACAGAGGGAGCCGGAAGGTGTTTGATGGTGTTCAAACCAATAAAACCAGTACGTTTCCCAATAATCCTTATGAAAGTATTTTTAGTTGAGGGTTTGACTCATGCAGGAACAACCTTCGAGGACACACAGATCTCACAGCTCATCCGTTTCATCGGGTTTATCCTCCACCCTCTCTGCGGTGTCGACTCCGAGGTGATGGGGTTAGGGCGGTGCACTCGACCTCTGAAACTAAACCTGTGAGGTGTTTCCAGGTGACACATCTTTTCTTATTGTGAGGATTTCTTCTCAGCGCCGGACTGAGTCTGCCGTGTGCTCAGCTCTGATGCTGTTACTGAAAGGGGGAGCCTCTAACATGCTTTGCTGCCACAGAGGAAATAAATTCACGGCGAGTGAAGCGAGGAGAAAATCTGCCGGCTGTCAGAGGCGATGAGACGACAGCAGCTTCTTAAAGGAGAATCGACTCGCTGCAGTAACTCGGTGACCTGCAGGACCAACACAACCGCTGGTGATAAAACCGAGCGGCCCTTTCACCTCGCGTCACGCCGCCAGCAGCTCGGCTGTTCTCACAGAGGACAGGTTTGCCCTGGAGCTGAGGCACACACAGCCGTAGTCACTGCTCAGGTGGAAACGCCTGCATGAGTCTGAGGGAGGTGCAACAGGTGAGGAGCACGCTCATCGAGCTTCCAATCATTGCACCTCCTGCCCTGATCGCAGTGGAGGAGATGGTGCAGCGAGATTCATTGAAGGCGACTCAGAGAGGCGAAAGGAGGGACGGGACGTCCAGGGAGAGATCTGAGAAGGAGCAGTGCTGGGAGGAGTCCCGAGGAGACCCTGAGGGGAGCTTGTTTAAATGTCGATGGAAACTCGGAGCTTCTTTAAAACAAGTGTAGGATCATGGCCGTGACCACTTTCCAGTTTCTACTTCCTAATCAGACCAGCGGGGAAAAGGAAGTTCATTAAAATGTATTTCTGTTTGAGTTTGGTGCTCCGAGAGGAACTCAAAGCTGTTGAATCCAGTCGCCGGTAACTTCTCGAGCTCTCGGTTTCCTAACAAGCACGTTTGCTCTTGCAAATTATTTGCAGCAGTTCACAGATTCCTGAGGAAGAACTCCCTGACAGTCACGACTCAGGGAAAAGACAAAGACAGAATTTCCTCCCCAGGTGGTGACAGCTGGACGCCACACTCGAACATCAGCTCACGCTTTAGCCGCTAACACAAACCCCGACTTTCAGCACACGAGGCGACTAGAAAGTGACGGCGGGGAAAAAACGGACGCGCTGCGACGTCAGCGAATGCAACATTCACACTACTGATGGAGTTTCTACTCCCTCTGCCTCTGCTGGGACCTCAGCATCAATTTAACCTCCAACTGCTTCTACTGTCAGCCAGAAGCACACACGCGCACACACACACACACACACACACACACACACACACACACACACACACACACACAGACGAAGAGTAAAATGGCCAAAGGCGCTTCCATCTCGCTGTGTGTGTCCTGAAACAGTCTATTTCAGTCATGGCTCGCTGCAGGAAATGGATTCAGAAGTGTGCGCACACACACAC